TTTTTTTTTGTTTTGTACGAATCGAAGTTGGGCTCTAAATACCAAATTGATGTAAATCGGGAAGTTCTAGAATTCATAGAATAGAAAGAGAATAAGAAAGAAGAAGTGGGTGAAAGGGGTTTACCTCATCCTCGCAAGGAATTGGTGAAGAAGCACACAAATCTCCGCAGAGAATACTCAATTCTTATTTATAATCTCTCCAATTAAAAATAGTTGGGATTACACTATTATTTATAGGCCAAGTCCCCTACTAAAATAAAAACTACTTTCCTATTAAAATACTAAAAGAGTTTCATAATCAAACTCTCAAATCCCTATCCTACTAAAACTTTATAATAATTTTCTAGTTAAATTCTAATTAAAACTCCTAGTCAAACAAATACTCATAAATCAAATAATAATAATAATAAACTACCAATTACACTTTCCTTTGGACCAAAAATTCCTAGTCTTTCGCCTAGGCTTCCAAAGTTGATTGCATTGGTCCAACCAACCAATGGCTGCGCCTTCAGATCCCTTCTAGTTTCCGACAATATCATTGACGCACACCCCTTGAGGTTTCTAAAGGATTGTGTTTTTTCATAGATTTCCCCAACCATTGTTCAATTGTCAATACCATCAACGGAATTTGCATACAACATCTTCTATCACTTTTGATGGCCATTTTACCTTTATATTTATTTGCATAGAAGGTATGCGTGTAAGTAAAGTAAATATCATCTCATGTTGTGTTATGTTATGATATCATAAAAATTATATGAATTAACTCAAAAAAAAGATTATATCTAGATTATTTTTCGTTTCCCGTTCATAACTAAAAAAATTAGAGATCGTAAGAAAACATTTTCTTTTGTGGAAGAGAACACTTGGACATTTGAAGCGAAAAGAAAAATAAAAGAATAAAATTGTTGAAAGAAGCGGAAAATTTGACTTTTGGGTATTTGACAATAATTGTATTGATGTTGTCTTCCGATATTTATTTAAGGCTAATATGATCATCCAAAAAATATTCAATGATAGTGACATATATTGCCGAAATTTGATGAATTACTTCTTTCATCAAATTGAAAATGAAGAACTTATCTTTAGTTTTACCTGAACAATCCACAGATTTAAGGAACATAGGCCCACCATCCGTCACAACCATAAAATTAATCAAGGGCCTCCTTTGTGAGTCACTCCATCCATCACTCACAATGCTCACACCTTTTTCTTTCCATGTGCTTTTAATGGGTTGTAGCAATCTCTCAATATTAGCATGTTCTTGTTGGAGTAAAGTAGTCCTCAAAGAATTATACCCTGGTGGCAAATAACCCGGAAGAGGATTAGATGTGGCAAATGAAAAAACAGTAACAAAATATGGATTCCTTGCAAGGTTCTAATCACCTTTCTTTTCTTTGATTCATAACCCCCTTCATCAAAGCTATCCAAATGATCTCCAAATGAGACACTAGGAGGCAATGGTACTTTCTTCAATGCAACTTTTCTTGATCTTTTATTAGCTTCATCCTCTAATTTTTGCATATCTACAATATCTTGGCTTGTAACTTTATGACATGCTCCAATCCCATGACCAAACAATTTCAATAAATGAGCTCGTACCCTTGTGTATCAGCTTTTCTTAGTTTGATTTGCTAAGAAATATTTCCCCCACCATCACTCAACTTCTCGAATCTTGTAATGTACTTCCAAAGAGGTTTAATTATGTCTTTTTCGGTAGATGGTGCACTGCTAGCACCCATATAACTCATTTTCTTCAATTCTGAATAAGGCAACAAAAATAAAAGAAAAAACAGAAATTACAACAACAGACAAAAAACAGTAGTATACAGGAATAAAACAGGAACAACATAGTTGTAGCAGCTCATATAGGAATAAAACAACAGAAAAATAGAAGGAAAAACACAAATTACAACAGCAGACAAAAAAAAAATAGCATACAGGAATAAAACAATAGACTAAAAATAAATAGTGGGGTTGAAAAAAAAATAGTAGGGTTGCAGCAAAAACAACAGGCACCAGCAAAAAAAAGCAGGGTTATAGCAGCAAAAACAACAAGGTTGTAGCTGCAAAAACCAGGAAAAAAAATAGCAAACCAACAAAAAAATAAAGAAGAAATTGCAAGTTTAGGGTTGAGTAACAGGGCCAGAAAAATAGAATGAACAATAGAACAGAAGGCTTTCCCAGAAAAATAGAATGAAAAAAAATGTCAATTTTGCTTTTTTCGGTTAGGGTTTAAAACTTGTTAAACACTAATTGAAAACTCTAACAGGAGAAGCCCTAAAGAGAGATGAGAATCATATCTTATTGAAGAAAAAATGGTGCAAATAAGAAAAAAATATCATGGGTAGTTCAGAATGAAGGTTACCTATGATAGAAAAATCTGCTGGTTGTTGAAAAATTGCCCAAACCGAGAATAAGGAATGTTGAATCTCTCCCGTCGACTTGCTGCAAAGAAGAAACGTTGCCGAAGTGGTTGGACTCTCCTCTCTTAGCTTGACAGAGAAGCCTAGAACCAACGTTGCCGGTGTTTTCTACTTTTTTTTTTCTTCGTCGAATCTGTTCTCATAGAGAGAGAATAAGAAATATATGTTTCATTTTTAATTCCTAGTCTTTGTGATTTTTATTTTCTGGCCCTTCCACTTTTAAATAACTGCAAAAAGATCCCATGTTTTAATTTTAAAATTACAAAATGGCCCTTAAACGTGTCCACTGTGTGTCCGAATTTGAAAAAAAAATAAAAAATGGACACTCTAATTAACGTGTCCGATGCGTTTTCGTATCCCAGACGTGTCGAACACGGATTCGTGAGTCAAAATTGAGTGTCCGTGCTTCATAGCTTGCACGACCCCAAAACCCCAAATTGGTCTCTAGTCCACTTGCAGATTCGCAACCCTTGTCCGACGACGAGTCTCCCTTTTTTTCTCAAGTGTGTGCCCCAGGACATGGATCACCTTGACTTCCAATGCCGGCAAAAAATCAATATTGTCCACAATTTTCATTACCCACACACATGCCCAAGAACATGGTAATCCCAATTCAGGACTTTGCTTTCTGCCACCTTCTAAGACCCTTGATTGAGCTGACCAAACGTTCGTCTAGCCACATTTCGAGGAACCAACTAATCCAAATGGAATTGGATGGGGGTAGATGTCGGCGGGATGTTGGTTTCCTAGATTTAGGTGTAGGACAAGGGTTGTGTTGGAAGTAGGAAGAATAGATCCATGTAAGGACTGTGGGAATTGAATTAGCAATTGTATGTGTGAGCATGGTTATCAAAACATGTATTTTTTTTTAAAAATATAGTATCGTGTATCGTAAGATACACTTAACTCAACTTAAATTTATATTTGTATATGTATATATATATATACATACACAAATATGTAAAAATTTGTAAATATATATTTTTTGAAGTGATATATATATTATTTCAACTCACTTATTTTTTTGTGCGATGCATGTTTCGGTAGAGATCGAAAGAGAGAATCATTTGTCTTCACCGAGAGATCAAAATGTAGCAAGAGTTTTGTCTATTTGAAGGAGGAGAAATAGAATAAGATTCAAAAGAAACAAAAAAGGGTCATAAGGCAAGACAATTGAGAGCTTAGTTTGTTTGAGATCAATCCAAAAAATAAAAAATAAGGTATAGGAAGCGATGTTGTTCCAAAAAATCCAAGATTCAAGCGTGTATTGTAAGATACAATTAATTTAAGTTTATATGCATACGTATATATATACCTAAAAATATATAAATATGTAGTGTTCAAAGTAATATAAATATCATTTCAACTCACGCATCATTATGTATGATGCATGTATCTGGTAGAGATTAAAAGAGAGAATCATTTGTCTTCATGTCAGATATCAAAATATACCTAGGGGTTTGTCTCTTTGAAAAAGTAGGAGAATAAGATGTTGGAGAAAGAAAATGATCGAAAGTTTCGTTTGTTTGAGATCGACCCAAAAAAGAAAAAATGACATATAGGAAACGACATCGTTTCAATTTTAGCATAAAGCATAAGTCTTGTGAAACGTCTTTTCATTGTGCAGAGTGAAAAATTATATTGACAATTATAAACAAAAGTCTTTTGAAACGACATCATTTCACTATGCAGAGCAAAAAATTGGAAACAATGACCTTTTGTGTTCATTTTTTCCATTATGTTGAAATGTATCCTAAAATACGTCTTGTTTATTTTAAGATATTGGGAAAAAATGATACGACTCCTAGATACGTGTCATTGGGGTATTGTAAGATTCGTTTTGCGTATCGTAAAAAATTGACAACTATGAGTGAGATTTTTTAATTAGAAGAGAAAGTTAGATATGTATATAGTTGTTCTCTATATTTATATAGGTAGAGAGGAAAGGGGTTTTCGGGTGAGGGCTGTCACATTTAAAAAAATGGAGAGACGGATGGAGGGGGAGAATTTGGAGAGGGAATAAATGAGGTGGTGGTTATATCAATGGTGTAGTGATTCAAAAGGAAGGGGGGTGATGGCTTTCGGGTGGTGGTCAAAGATGGTGGCTGAATTTTGATCAAAGGAATAGAGTGGAAAGGGACAAAAATTTTGCCAGTTCTAATGTTGAAGATTGCGTGTTCAGCAATTATGATGAAGCAGGCTGTTTGGCTGATGAATCAGTTCCATTTGGTAAAATGCTTAGTTGCAACTGCTTTCGAACTCTTAGTTGGTTGGCCGAAATTTTTTAGCAACAATATTTAGCAAATACATGAGGGTAAATTTGTCAAGCTCCTGTAACGCTGTTTGTTTGACTAGATTGACAAGGGGCCCATTGTAATTTGGGTGCCATTGGAATTGCCAGAACCAAGTGGTCTCATTGTAATTTGCCTAAATATTGAAATTATAGTCTGTCCTTCTCTAGTCAATCATTTAAATTTTTTTTTGGGCTTGGTTTGGGAAGAAAGAAAAATCAGTTATGCTGGTCCATGTTCTAATTTCCAATCATCTAATGTTCTGCTTTATAGGTATTTTCGGATGGAACCTCTACCAGGCCGCAAGTATGTACTCTTCTCCCCTGTTTTACATTGTATTATGCTGGAGTCTAGCTATTTTATGCTTCATGTAGTAATTGTTTAGTGACAATGGTGTTTGTTTGTCAATCAGACATCTCACGTGACCCTCCCTGGTCCCTCCACCCAAAAGAGGGAAAACTATAGAAAAGAGAACTCATTTTGTAGGCTTCATGTTGATGGATGTATTCCTTTGTTATTTCCTTTAATGTGAATATTTAATTGTATTGTCAATGCTCAGTGCACTGGTACCTCCTCAACCTGGAGAGAAAGTTGTGAATTATCTGACTCGTCCAGTGGATACAACCACAGATTTTGAAGGAACAACTAGTCTTCAACCTTCTCAACCGGTATGCTTACAGGCTTTGGAACTTGTTGACTGCTATAATAATATAAAGCTGCATAAAACTTAAATAGATTTCTTGGATGTGCATGTGGGCCTTTCATGAGACTAAGTTTAATGTTGCAAGGCTTGCATCTGCTTCTCTTCTCCATGAACAAAAAACTTATAATAATTTAAAGGAAATGTTGTTTTACTTGGGGCCTAGGAAGTACGGATACGGATACGGCTGTCGTATCCGATATGTACGGACACGGGGATATGACAAAATTCTAAAATATAAGATATGGGTACGGCGAGGATACAACTAATTAAAATAATATAATATATTTATATATATATAATAACATTAATAATAAAATTGGGTAATTAATTAATATTTTATAATTGGACAAATAGACTAATATTAAATTTGATTAGTGGACTAATATGTTCTGGGCAGTGGGTTAAACCAAATTGGGTAGTGAGTGACAACTAATAAGGTATGATTGTAATTTAACATAAAATATAAGAAGTTCAAGGGTTCCTTGTAAATTATTTTAGCAACTAGGGCAAAGAAAAAAAGAAAAGAAACTAGTAGGGGTTGAATAGTAAATAAAGACAAGGCCTAAAAAAAAGAAAAAGAAAAAGGCATTGCTTTATTGCTTTTCAGCAACTAGGGCAAGCCGCAGACGATAGAAATCGTAGAGGGAGAGAGAGAGAGAGAGAGATCTGAAGATGAAGATGACATACCTGCTCAAAGGGGAGGAAATCTATGGCTGTGGCTGATTAGATACATCGTCTTCTTCCCTCTCTCCCCCCCCTTTTTTTTTTGGTTTCAAATCCATAGTTGGGGCCATATCCTTCCGTATCACCTCCGTATACGAGCCGTATCATCCATAACAAATATTTCTTAATTGTTCAGGACACTTGTAGAAGTGTCGGACATGTGTCTGGCAGTCTCCCACGTGTATCCATATCGGACACGCGTCCAACACTGCCAGGTCGACCCCCTGAGGAGTATTCGTGCTTCTTAGCTTGGGGCCTGTTTGGTATTGCTCTTTACTTCATATAGTTAGAAAAACAGAAAAGGTAAACAAACTTTGAGTAAGATGTTTGATAACATGATTTATATTTAATAAACTGGTGGCCCTTTTTTTCCCGAAAAATAGGAATCAAAAAATTTTTCCCCGAAAAACATAGGAACATAGGTATGAAATGCATTGACAGTAAAACACTATGACACAAAGAAGCACATACATGTAACATGAGAGGTAAAATACACAAGCTAACACACACACACACTCCCTCTCTCTCTCTCTCTCTCTCTCTAGAACACACACATGCCTACAAATACATACAACAATAAAATACACGCGCACACTAAAACGTGCTGATAAAAATACTTATGCACATAAACACACACATAATGATAAAATGCATGCACACAAAATGCGATAACAACGCCCATATGTACACACACTACACACACATACTGATAAAAATATACAAACGTTGTACCAACAGACGAGTTAGTCTTGTTCTTGCAAGAATAAGAGTGAACAATAGGGGGGGTAAACTTGAGGAAGATGAAGATTGAGATGAAGTGAACCTTGGAAGTGAGCATGTCATAAATATAACAATCACCANTGTCGGACATGTGTCTGGCAGTCTCCCACGTGTATCCATATCGGACACGTGTCCGACACTGCCAGGTCGACCCCCTGAGGAGTATTCGTGCTTCCTAGCTTGGGGCCGGTTTGGTATTGCTCTTTACTTCATATAGTTAGAAAAACAGAAAAGGTAAACAAACTTTGAGTAAGATGTTTGATAACGTGATTTATATTTAATAAACTGGTGGCCCTTTTTTTCCCGAAAAATAGGAGTCAAAAAATTTTTCCCCGAAAAACATAGGAACATAGGTATGAAATGCATTGACAGTAAAACACTATGACACAAAGAAGCACATACATGTAACATGAGAGGTAAAATACACAAGCTAACACACACACACACTCCCTCTCTCTCTCTCTCTCTCTCTCTNCAAATCAATAGAAGAAGTAGCCACAACTGGACCATGCAATTCGTCTTAACATATATAGTCCTCCTAACTCTATGGCCAGTCTCAATCAACTTCTTGGAATAAAGATCTTGCATTATGCAATAAGGAGAGAATAATTGAACAACGTAACCAAGATGGGATAGTTGAGTAACATAAATCAAGTTCAAAGATAGTTGAGGAATACAATAAACATTAGAAAGAGATAAAAGTGAAGCGGTAATGGATCCAACGCCTGCCAACGACATGGGAGTGTCATTAGCAGCCATAACACTAATAGAAGAAGGGAGAAACGATGTGGAAATAAAGATGGATCATTAGTCATATGATGTGTATCACCTGAAGCAAACACCCAAGTGAATTGAGATATACATACCTAAAAGAGTTGATGAAGATAAACCGGTAGTGGAAGGAATAGACAAGTCATTAAGCTGATACGTGTTAGAAGTTTTTGCAACTGCTCAACAATTAAACTTAAGAAAGGGGCGGATTGGGATTGATCATCCATAGATGTTACAGGTGTTGAATTTTCACTTTCCATAATCTGAAATTTCTTAAAGTTCTGGGGCAGAATTTGAAATATTCAAAACTTTTGGTCCGAATATGAAATTTCAGGAACATTAGGGGCTGAATATGAAATTTTAGAAACTTTAGGGGCTGATTCTATTTCGGAAAATTCATGGATTGAATATGTAATTTTCCAAATTATTTTTTTTTTGAATAGCCAAAGCCCAATGACAGTCACAAGCCACAAAACCCTAGTTGTAACTCCACTGTTCACANCTTTAGGGGCTGAATATGAAATTTTAGAAACTTTAGGGGCTGAATCTATTTCGGAAAATTCATGGATTGAATCTGTAATTTTCAAAACTAGTAATTTTTGAATAGCAAAAGCCCAATGACAGTCACAAGCCACAAAACCCTAGTTGTAACTCCACTGTTCACACACTATTCATGGACTGCTCATCCTCTTGTGATTTAAATGCAAGAAGCAACACTACCAAACATGGTACACACCTTGTGGTTACTGATTGGCAGCTGACTCCTCGTAACAGAAGACTCCTCTCAGCAAAAGATTCCTCTTCACTGAATTTGGATTACAACTTCTGGACCCAGCACATTAATTCTACTACACGCAACTCCTAATACACACCATCAGCAACGGCAACCTGAAATTTCTCTTCAGTGATGACGACAGGCAATGATGACAGAGAGGAGAAAAAACAACGAGCAAATCAAAACAGAAGATCAATGTAACAAGAAGTCAATTGAACCATTTAAACGAACAAAATCAGAGGATATTCATCCTCCTTTTGATNATGTAACAAGAAGTCAATTGAACCATTTAAACGAACAAAACCAGAGGATATTCATCCTCCGTTTGATTAGACGCCATATGAACAATCAGCATGTCAATCAACCTAGTAAATTAGCAAAATCAGANATCAGAGGATATTCATCCTCCTTTTGATCAGACGCCATATGAACAATCAGCATGTCAATCAACCTAGTAAATTAGCAAAATCAGAGGAGAAAATGCAGCGGAATCAAACCAACAAATTGAACCAAGAACATGGACAAACCAATTGAAGCAACCCAAAAAATCAAAATACAAAGGATAGATGAATCAAAACAACCATCCAATGATAACTCAATTGCAAGAGTGGATTTGATACCATGAAAACCTAGATCAAAAGAAGAGAGAAGAAAGCTAATATTCTATGATGATGACAACTAGCTATAGAAGGCACTATATACAAAACCTTACTGGAAAAGAAAACTAAATTACTCCTAATGATAAGCAAAAATAAATANGATTTGATACCATGAAAACCTAGATCAAAAGAAGAGAGAAGAAAGCTAATATTCTATGATGATGACAACTAGCTATAGAAGGCATTATATATAAAACCTTACTGGAAAAGAAAACTAAATTACTCCTAATGATAAGCAAAAATAAATATAAATACAATCCAAATAATAATTACCATAAAAAATAAAAGACTAAACATTCTTAACAAATTTTTCAAACCAAGCATGTGGTGAGTGTTTCAGACCTTAGAGTGTTTTCTTCAAACGATATACTAATTATTTTTTCTCAAAAGCAATCTATATTTCTGGCTGAATCATATATACTTCCACCGGTATGTCTTTGCACAAAAAAACATTCTTAATGCCCAGTTTATACAAAGACCAATTAAAATTGACTATAACAAAAAGAGGAAGTCTAATAGGGTTAAGACAAGCAACGAGATAGAAAGTCTCACAGTAGTCTACTGCACATGTTTGAGTGTAGCATTTGACATCTAACCGTGCATTCAAATGCTCAACAGAACCATCTGGATTATATTTTACTATGTAGACCCAATGACAGTTGACAGGTTGCGTACCTGAGAGGAGAGGAGTGAGGTCCTGGGTTTGATGATCATTAAGGGATTTAATTTTTTTTTTGTCTATAGCCAGTTTTTATCCAAGAGAGGTCAATGCCTTATTCAAGGAAGCTAAGGACAAATACAAAGACAACGATGATGCAAAACAATGAAACAAATGAGGAAAGCTGATCAAAAGAGATAATAATTAGAAATGAGATGTGTAGTACAATTATGGGTATATCTCCTCAATGCAATAGGCAGGATCATTAGGAGATGAAAAGTAAACGGCTCAAGAGGTATGACCTCAGTAGAATTAGGTGTTGGCCATGGAGCTAATAGCCTGTTTTGTTCTTGGAACGACTGTAAATCTGCAGTATAGGAGTAGACTTCGGAGGAGGATAAGAAGAAGACTTGTAGTCCGGTACAGTAGACATCAAGGTCTCCCACTAACTAGGAGAGAGTAAATTTGTGGAGAGATTATGTCCTAACAGGAAAAAAGGAGGACTCAAAGAAGGTAACATCGCCACTATTATAGTAGTCAAGAAACGGGGTCATAACAATAATCATTTTGAGAATGAGAATATCATTCTAGACACATTT